AGAAGATAGATGCCTTGTTGATGGAGCAGTCTGCAGAGGAAAATTTCTTTCAAGCTTACTGTAAATCCTGAAATGAAATTGCTAGATATGTTTCAAACACTTTTTCAAAGCAGTCATTACCAGATGTCACAGAAGGTACAGCAGAGGTTAAGCCCTAAACCATCAACACAATAGTTATCACTATTTTGTTTTCAACATTTAAATCTATTTTAACTGAAGGGAAACTACTCTTTAGTGCTGCATTTCTTTTGGATTTAATGAATGTCTCTGGAAACCCACAGTTTTCTTTGTGAATTCAGGATTGCCAGGAGAAGCAGAAAACAATGTTGTCTGGAGTGATTTAACTGAGTTTACTGTCTACTAATTCTTGCTTCATTTTTCATTGGAGACAAAACTTTCCTCCAAATAAACGTGTATATGTGTATATTTAAATTACATATAAAAGCATCTGTTAATCTAGGCATGGTGTGGCTTTTTACTCATTACTTACTGTCTTCTAAATCAGTATCTGGATTTATGAAATTTACAGTTAAGTGACCAAACTTAGCCCTTTTTGCAAACTTCCCATTAACAGGTTATTTTTTGAGAAATTTTTTTTAGTGTTTATAACTGATCAGATATTTCATACTAATGAATAGTATCTGCGCTTTTCAAAACATGTAAAGATATTGTGGTTTTGATCAAAGGACACCAAGAAACTTTACCAGCAGTCTTTAAAGCCACTAAAGCTGACACAGTCAAATACCCAGAATTCTAATATAAACACTACGTAAAAGAAGCTCTCTGAGACAGAATCATAAACTGCCATGGCACCACCAGAAGTTTTAAGACCACTTCCACTTGAAATTATCCCCCCTTTGGGCCATAACTTGTAGTATATCAAACTATGAAGTTTTAGAAAAGCATAGTGCCCATTTCTATTTCTTTTGTCTTTTTATTTAATGTACTGATGCAATATTTTAAACAGAATTTTACATTATTATATCACACTATGACTCTTGAGAATACTGACACTTTGGTTTAAATATTGGGGGGGGGGGGGGAAGGCAGCACAACTGCAGTTCAGATGGACCCATGGTAGTTAGTTTAATGCCCTGTTAAGCTAGAAGTGAAGCACTCCAGGCTTGCTAG